AGCGGAGATGGCGAGATGCAGGCGTCCCATACGGCGGCGCGGCCGTGGGTGCAGCCGCCCAGACACCTCGCGGTGGTAATGCCGCGACCCAACAGCAGATTGCCGAGCAACAAGAAGAGAAGAGGACACATCGATAGCCGGGCAAGAGCCAACATTCAAGGCCTACAATAGCAGCGGCAGCAGCGGCAGTGGTCGCAGCAGAAGCCGCAACCCCGACAGCAACTCCAGACCCAGCAGCCTCTGGAGCGGCAGCGGCAGCATGAGGCGCTTGTTCGGCAGCCAAGCGTGGCCCGGCCCACTTCAGTAGGATCGCAGGCGGCGGTGGGGGGGGGGGCGGAGGGCGGGGCGCTGGCGAGAGACGTTATTTTTTTACAGTCCCGTCATTGCCTCAGGGCAAGAGCCGACAGCAGGGGGGGGGGAGCCGCAACACGGTGTACCTTGTCCGCAGACGCACGGAGGTTTGTAGGATCTCGCGCTGCCCCACGCCTGGGTCAGTTTCGCCGGCGCTGTTTCCACGGTGAGAAAACAATTAACCACCAGCGGTTGCTGTAGCCGCAGCTGGTCTAACCGTACCTTGCATGATGAGTTGCCGGAGAACGCTGCGTGCAACTAACGAGTCAGGAGAGGTCGGAGTGTCAGACATGTTACGACAGCATTCACATCTTTCACGGCCCGAACAGATTCGCAACCGCCCCGCGTTAGCAACCGTCGCAGCAGACTCGTAGTGTCATACAGATTAATTAAGCAGACCGCCGCAGCAGAACGGCAGTAGGGAGGTTCCAACTTAACACATGCACGCTCATGATTTATCCGAAGCCCAGGGACACACCGACGTTGTCAGTGCATGCAAGACTCAAACAGACGTTCAGTGCATGCAGGGCGAGAGATGGCCGCAGCCGAACGGCAGGAGAGCAGTTCCAACCCAACACATGCACGCTCCTGGTTGGTCGGGGGCCCAGAAATACACAGACGTTCAGTGCATGCAGGGCCAGAGATCGCCGCAGCATAAGGCCAGTAGGGTAGTCGCAACGCAACCCAGGCAAGCCTTTAGTTCGTTGAACGCCCAGATACAAAACGCCGAGGCCGAACGGCAGTAGGGCAGTTCTAACTCAACACATGCACGCTCCTGGTTGGTCGGAAGCCCGGGTACACACCGACGTTCAGTGCATGCAGGGCGAAAAATCGTCGCCGCAGCAGATCCTTAGGGCAGTTCCTACGCAACCCCGGGGGGCATGTAGTTCGCTGAAAGCCCAGACACAAACATACGTTTCAGTGCATGCAGGGCGAGACACCGCCGCAGCAGAACGATAAGACGGCAGTTCCAACCCGACACATGCACGCACCTGGTTGGTTGGGGACCGAGGAATACACAGACGTTCAGTGCATGCAGGGCGAAAAATCGTCACAGCCGAATGTCCGTAGGGCAGTTCCAGCGTAACCCCGGGAGGCATGTAGTTCGCCGAAAGCCCAGACGCCAACAGACGTTTCAGGGCACGCACGGCGAGAGACCGCCGCAGCAGAACGATAGGAGCTCAGTTCCAACCCAACACATGCACGCTCCTGGTTGGTCGGGGGCCCTGGAATACACAGACGTTCAGGGCATGCAGGGCGAAAAATCGTCTCAGCCGAATGTCCATAGGGCCGTTCCAACGCAACTCAGGCAGGCATCTACTTCGTTAAAGGCCTAAATACAAACAGACGTTCAGCGCATGCAGGGCGAGAGATCGCCGCAGCAGAACGACGGTAGGGCAGTTCCAACTCAACACATGCACGCTGCTGGTCGGTCGAAAATTCCCAGCGATATACAGACGTTCAGGGCATGCAAGGTGAGAGATCGCCGCAGCCGAATGTTCAGGGCAGTTCCAACGCAAGTCAGGTAGGCATCTAGTTCGTTGAAAACTCAGACACAAACAGGCGTTCAGCGCATGCAGGGCGAGCGATGGCGGCAGCAGAACGGCGGTAGGGTAGCTCCAACTCAACACATGCACGCTCCTGGTCGGTCGGAGATGCCCAGGGATATACAGACGTTCAGGGCATGCAGGGTGAGAGATCGCCGCAGCCGAATGGCAGTACGGCAGTTCCAACGCAACTCAGGCAGGCATGGAGTTCGTTGAAAACCCAGACACAAACAGGCGTTCAGCGCATGCAGGGCGAGAGATTGTTGTTGTTGTTGTTGTTGTTGTTGTCTTCACATTAAAAACCGTTCCGATCTCTCTCTACCCAGTACCTTCGTATGTCCATACTGATCCAACACTCGACGCGGTCGATTCCAGTGGTCACAGGGTAACTTACCCTAAAAAGGTACACTCCAATAAACTGGCCCCGAGGGGTCCGCAAGTCAATAGAAATCAACGACAGATATTCTGGAGTCCTCCACTCCCTCTGCGCGCTACGCGAGGTATCAACTGAGACTAGGAGTCACTATCACGGGCCGGAGAGAAAGAGGTACACCCCCTTGGTTCAATCTTGGTACTTCACAACACAAGCAGAGACAAGGCCATCTGGCACAGAAAAAGAGAGAAAAAATAAAAAAACGAGAAAAACGAGAAAAAATAAAATAAAAGGAAACAGTAAGAAAAAAAAAAAATTAAATGAAAATAAAATGAAAAAGAGCGAGGACAAAAAGGGACCAGGCCGAAAATAACAAGGAATAAGAAGCAGAAAAAGGCACACGGTGGAGAAACCACTAACGAACAAGCAAACACGCAAACATGGCCACCAACCAGCGATACGTTGTAATGGTACGTCATCACTACTGGGGGGTTGGTGCAATGGTGCAGCGTTGAGGGGGGGGAATTGGCTAAAAGAAATTCAATCCGGCACGTATCGTGCCACTCGGTCCGTCTCTTCTCGTTTGCTTTCTTCCCTCGCCGTCTCGTCCGTCTCCTGCCCCCCTCCCGCCCCATTGGTTGTTGGCTTGTGGTTTCGTTTGAGCGCTCGTTGTCGGCTGGCCTCTTCTTCCTTCTCGTGCCAGGAGATCATGAACCTCTCAGCTCCCTGCAGCACCGCCGCATGCCAGGGTACTCCCCTCTCCACCTTCGCGGCTTCCGTCCACTTTAACTTCGGTGCCGTGTCTTTCGGTACCGGGATTCCGAGACAACATGGATCGGTTTTCGTAGATCTGTGGTCGGCCCCGAAGGCCTTCAGGTCGTCGAGCACACACTTCGGCCAGTTCTGTTCCTGTCCCCCCCTACGTGACTTCTCCCCCCCCGCCAGTTCGCCGAGCATCAGTCGTTTCGGGAGTCGCCCGTCCGGCTGCCTTGCCAGTGCTCCCGCGAACAGTAGGCGTCGTTGTCGGATCGTGGCTTCAACGCTCTGGCATTCGACCCTCTTCAGCGTTTGGGCGGAAGAGAGCTGCCGGTAGGTGTCTTTCTTGCGCTTGTACCCGATAACTCGAAGGAGCAGTCGGTGGTGTGTCGACCGCAGCATCTGATAGTGGCCGTTGAGTGGTGACCATGTCATGCAGCCGTACAGCAGTGCCTCCATCGCCTCCGCCTGGAAGAGGCGGATCTTGAGTCGGAATGGCGCTTTCGGTCTGTCGAAGAGCTCCTGGCCATATCGCCTGAGGCACGCCCACGCTCCTCTGCTCCTGTAGTTGATCTCCCGGGTGAGGTCACCATGTTCGTTGACGAGGCCACCGAGGTACCGGAACTCGGTCGTCTGGGCGTATTTCTGTCCCGCGGCTTCGATGGTCAGCGGTGGAGGCGGGGGGGGCTGTGATGTTGTAGTCGACTTGTCCTTCGCGCGCATCAGGAGCGTCTCCGTCTTCTTCTCCGACACCGTTAGCCCGAACTCTCCGAACACCTCAACGATGATGGTCATCATTTTCGCCAGTCCTTCTGCAGACCTCGATACGACGCCGGCATCATCGGCATACAGCATCCCCCATACTGCCCCCCGTACTCGGTCAAGGGGTGTCTCCTCCCCCCCCCCCGCTTCCGTCTTCCCCTCCTCCAAGCACACCAGGTTCCGCAGAACAACATTATCCTCGCTGAATCGGATAACGACGACCTCGAGGACCTCGGCGAAGAAGATGTTGAACAGCAGTGGGGATAGCACACATCCTTGTCGCACGCCCTGTGTGACAAAGAACCAGTCCGATAGTTCTCCGTCGTCCATGCGCACCCGGGCCCCGCATGCCATCGTGGAATTGGCGGATGACTTTGATTAGCTTCGCGGGAATCCCGGCCCTGGCCAGCACCTTCCATAGCATCTCTCGGTTCACCGAATCATACGCCTTCTTCAAGTCGACGAAGCACATGTAGAGCGGTATTTTCTTTCTCCCCCCCAGCTCCTGGAGGCGGCGCACGACGAACAGCATGTCGACGGTGGATTGCCAGGGTCGAAATCCGCACTGTTCCTCCGGGAGGATGTTGTTGGCTTCGCAGAAGGCGCTTAGATGGTAGGTGATGATCTTGATGGGGACCTTGCCTACGTGAGATAGTAGCGAAATCCCCCTGTAGTTGTTACAGTTGGACCGGTCACCCTTCTTGTACAGCACCTTGATGGTTGCATCCTTCCACTCTCGCGGGATATCTCCTCCGTTCCACACCTTGACGAGGATGGTATGGAGGTGTCCCAGGACAAAGGGTTCGTCGTCATCGATCTTGAGAAGCTCGGCAGGGAGGGAGTCATGGCCGGGTGCAGTTCTTGAGGCCTTTCTCTGCCCGTGCCACCTCCTCGAGTTCTGGCACCTCTCCCAACCGTTGAGTGTCCGTGTCGCTGGCCGCTGCGTCACTCGTTCGATGATGTCTGGGTTCAGGAACGTTCCGAACTTGCAGCAACACAATTGCCTAACGCAGCTCAGCGCAAGGGGACCCCCCCACCCCACCCCACCCCCCACCCACCCCGGGTGCCCTCTGGCAAACAGAGTAGCGCCCAGAACGAACCTCAGTGCTCTTTCCATACACCATTCTCGCTATCCTTAGTACCCACAGCGTGGCCGTTTCCACCGACTATTCTACATGTTTCTATTCACAACCCTTCCTCTTTACGACGTATTATTTTTTCCGTCGCTTGGGGACCCAGGCCCACACGAACTCCGCTCGGATAGGCTCTTTCCCGGATTCATCTGTAACCGTCACCTGGAAGATAACAAAAAAAAGAAACAAAATATGCCTTATTGCTTAACACCAGCTGGCATCACTGTTAAAACAATAAGCGCGAGGCAAAAAATAGGCTCAGTATGCCCGTAAGGATGCGGGTCTCCGCACAGGGGTGTAAGAGTTTTTCAAAGCTTCACCACTCGTCAACTAGGAAGGCAACACTGCCGAAAAGGGCGGTTTTGGAATTATCTCATCGAGGTCTTTCCTCAGACGTGTCGTTTGGCCTTCGCACGCTCCTATATCGTTGCGGAGTAAGAAAGCTTTGAGAAACGCTTACACCCCTGTGCGGAGACCCGCATCCTTACGGTAATCCCAGTATCCAGTCGGTTTTTCTCCCACTCACTGTTGTAAAGTACTTCAACCCACCCCCTTTGATCTCTGTGGTTTTATCTCGACCGGGCAGTCTTTCTTCGAGTATTTTCTTCGGTTTTATGCGTATGAATATTTTCTACAAGGTGTGCCTCCGGAATGGGCTCATCAGAGCGTACTCGTGGTGGAAGTGTCATCCAAGGCGTGTGAAGGTGAAGCGTGTGCTTGTGTGAATCAGCTACCAGCTGCCATCGGTGACGTTTTCCAAGCTCGAACAGGTCATACAGCTGACGTGCTTTCGACTCGAAGAGCCCAGCGAGCTTCATCGAACCAAAAGAGAAGAAATCACAAATCTGCAAACAGTCTTAAAAAAAGGTCAACGCCAGTCCAGAGGGTGCGCTATCTTACGTCATGCAACCTACGGCACCTGTACATTCGCCTCCCCCTTCTCTTGGTCTCGAACGGCCGTAAGTTGCTCTTCGCTTAGCTCCGCCACGGCCGTTACATCGCCTGGTGCCGGTTCGCAAAGGCGTGTGTTGCGGTTCGTTTTAAGAGGACATCGCAAGAAAGACGTGGCTTTTATAACAACACACGCGCCGTGCGGTAGCCTGGTGAAGTTGATCGCATCAACAACAAAGAGGACATCCAAAGAAGATAATGGCACTGCTAAAAGAAACGCGAAATTTGCGGCAGCCTTTGTGAACTCGACCGCATCAACAACACAGAGGACATCGCCAAAGAAGGCGCGGCCTTCACTATCATACAAAAAAAAAGCATACCATACCTTGCGACAGCCTTGTGAAATCGATCGCCATGCTCTTGCACAGGGGCAGCCGGCTGTCGGGCACGCTCATGCCGACCAGGATTCCCGTGGCGGATTCCGCGGCGAGAGCCATGCCGCACGCGTGCACGCTCCCGATGTGGTTCTGCACCTATCGGACGGGATCGACAAACAAGAAAGTCCGTACGTTCAAGACACCGCGCTCGTGACCGGTACTTTCTTGGTACAGTAAAATTTCAAATACTTTACTGTACTGAAGTACTCACGAGTATGTTATTGTGGTTAGAATTACATTCTGCAACAGGTGTTGCCGCTCTTCAGTTGCCGTAACTGGACAACTCACGGATGTGGTTCTGTGCCTACTGAGGGATGGACAAACTAACAGTCCGACGTTCAAGACACCGCGCTCGTGATTCGTATTTTGTTGGTACAGGGAAAGTATCAATAACGTGTAGTACTTGGTACATGTGTTTTTATGGCAGCACGTGTCGTCGCTCTTCAGCTGCCATAACTGGACTACTCACGGATGTGGTTCTGCGCCTATTGGGGGATCGAAAAACAGAACATTCCGACGGTGAAGAAGACACCGCTCTCGTGGTCCTTATTGGTCTCCTGTTTTGGTTGGCTCTGCTTATTGGTTCACGAGTATTTGGTGGTGGATAAGATTCGATCTTCTTGGCGCGAGACTGTCCGTGTGGGTGTCGTAGCTCATCAATCGACACGACAGGACAGCTCAGATGCGGTTGTGCAGGTGGGATCGACAAAATCGATTCCGACATAATGGTCACCTCGATCACTATTTACATGGACTGCGGCTACAAGTACAATGCGTGTGCTTCATGCTGTCGCTCTTCGGTTGCCATGACTGGACAGCCCCGAAGCGGTTCTGCATCTGGAATCGAAAAACAAACGTCGTTGTAAACACCGCGATCGTTGGTGCCATACAGTTACATGTAGCGCCCGCACGTAAGAACCTGGGAGTTACGAAATTGCGGCTCAAGAAACGAAAAACTTCAAGAACTTGGTCGTAAGAACAGGGCTCAGTCAAAAAGCCCTACGCGAAAACCTAGATATTGCAGTCGCTGTTCGGGTACCCCATGGACTAGAGAAGATAAGAAACGAACCTCGGCCAAAATAAGAGATTCTTGAGTGGTGACGCTCACTGTATGAGTTATCGTGGTCTAAAACTCGAAGTTCATGCGAGAGTGTGCTTAATGGCATTGCTGTTCAGTTGCCATTACCGGACAGCCCCGAAGCAGCTCTGCATCGGGGATCGACAAAAACAATTCCGTCATCGCGAACACCGCGATCACTACTACATATTGTTGGCGCCATGGACAACGTTTTTTTTTTTGTGGTTGGAAACAAACTCGTATTTCACGCGCGAGAGTGTGCTTAATGACATTGCTGTTCAGTTGCCATGACTGGACAGCATAGATAGACGTGGGGGTGGATGCGCTTCGTTCGGAAGAGCGACATAAGTGGCAGCAAAGCAAGAACAGGCCACTTCCAACAGCGAGCAGAACCGGCGTGAGATACACCAAGCCACAGTAAAAACTACAGCAACAACAACGACGAGAGGCAATGGCAGCAACGTCACGACCATCACCACCACCACCACCAACCTAAACTACACTACTACTCCACCAACAGCAACGGCAACTATTGTACTACTATCCACTGCTGCTGCTACTACAGCAGTACTGTAGGAACTGGAGTTTAGTGCCGGTTGAACAGTGCCGTGCCGGTGTTTTCGGCGGGCACGCGCTGAATTTCCATGCCATTCTCAGTAGTATTTTGAATAAGTGCCCGCCGGCCCGGTATAGTGCCGGTGATTTTTTCTGGGCACACATCGCCCCTTCACAGGGACCTCTGTTAATACTGAATTTACTGCTGCACAAATGCTTTAACTTCAGCCCCACTCACTCGTCGGACGTTAACAAAAAAAAAAAACTCACTCGTCGGACGTTGGCAACTTTCACGACGGATCGGTGGGGCGTGAGCTCCTCCACCCGCACGCCCGCAGTGCCGGCCAGTTTCACCTGAAAGGCAAAAATGCGGGGGGGATGAAAAGCTGTCTGCCACCATCTCCTTTGCCACCGACTTGCCCCACGACGGCTTCGTTGCTTTAGCGGAAGGGTTGGGCTTGGATCACTGGAAAAGCTGTCAAAAAAATGTACCATAGTATCTCATTTGTCACCGAACCGTCAACCACACGGCTCATTATTGCTTTAGGCGAAGGATTGGGCTTGGACCATTGGCACCACCTGCCCATGCTCATGCAGCTGCATGCGTGGTTTGCTGATTTATCATCATGTGTTCCGCGTGGTGCACAGATCTCGCTCTGTGCTCAATACAATAATACCAAACATGATCATGACCATGACGAGATGAGAGAGCATGAAGTGGAGGTACGGTGACTGCGTCACCTCCCGGCCGCAATTTCGCCGCATTTGGGTTGAAGCCTCGATTCTCGATTCGGCACGATCCATCTGGGTTGTGGAAAATGCCCATATAACAACACAAGCCCTTTGTCGCCAAAGCCTTTCTAGGGACCTCCCAATAGGTCGTTCAATCACGGTGCATCTTCAACAGCGCTAAAGCAGGCCTCCAGGACACCGCGAAGGCCGATGGGCCCAATGTGCCGATTCGGACCATAATTAGGCCGACCCTCCATGCACCTGCGAGTTGAACATCAAGCTGAGTGCCCACGGCTGCAGAGAAGCGGGGAGGTTTCCCTTGATCTTCCCCACCATGGACGCTATCTTGTTCGGGCTCCCCATGACCTCCTCCCTTGCCACTATATCTCCCTCTTGCTGGCCCTCCCCCTCTCTATCTCCGCGTCTCCCTGTGGTTGCAACGAACAGGATGTTGAAAGTGGAAACTCTCCGCGTTTTGCTTCAACAATCAACCACGTCCAAAGACGACCCCGCCGCTCACACAGCGCAGCGCGAACTGGGAGGAACTACCGTGGACGCCTCAGGGATCTTGCAGGCTCGCTTTGCATGCAGTGACAACCTTCCCTTCTTTCTCGGCACGGTGCTGCAGCTTTGTCTGTCTTCTGCTGTGTTCTTTCAGACGATGGCAGACGAAGGGGAGACGTGGGTGCAAGTGCCCCCCCCCCTATACCCATAGATTTTCTTCATACACAAACGGGCGTCCTCTCTCGATCTCTCGACACAGCACCGCCGATTTAGATCCATCGCAGCACGGATGGACCTCCCTCTCTCGCTGCCTGCAGTGTGTACTGCAATGTAAGGTTACAAATGATCTCTACAACGAGCAGGAGGGAAGGGACGGAAAAGAGAAATCCTCTTGAGGGAAGGGACGGAAAAGAGAAATCCTCTTGAGGATCTTGGCAGAGCCAGATCTATCCGCGTCCAGAAAGTACCGTCTACTTCCCGAGAGCGTGAGATTTCCCGTCTCCTCTCCCTTGTTGCCAAGGAGAGAGGAACGCCGGAAAATCCGACATCGAACAAGCAAGCCACAGACAGGGCGGCGGGTTTTATGTGTGTGTTTTCGTCCTATTATGGCGACAGTCCCCCCATTTTTCGTGATGAGACGTGTACTACACTTTTCAGTGTAGTTTTTCGTACAACTACAACCATCCATGGTCACACAGGAGGGAGTAAACACCAGGCAGGGCCCTTTTTTTATTACTTTCGTGCCCCATCTTCCCCCTGCGGTGCGCGCTTGTAGTAAAATAAAAAAAAGGTGAACGCCGACAAATAGCTCCGACCCTGCTGGCTGATGGCATCGATCGCCCGCCGGTCAGGATATTTCGGCCAATCAGAACTCAGTGGCGTCGCCGGTGTTGACCAATAAGAAAATCAACCGCTCACCCGCAGAAGAACGAGCTTTGTTTTCCTTTGAACTTTGTATTTCGTCAGGGCCGCTGGGGTTGTGGTCATAAACACATCCTAATGTCAAGCTTCCGCGGTTGGGAAGGTTGCTGCTGCAAGGCAAGGGTGGGCAACGAGGTGCATCAACCGCAACAACAGAACGCGTAAAAACATACCACCCAAACACTTGAGCCCCACTAAATCCAAAATCGAAGAACTTGGCCGCAAGAAAGAACAGGTGCTCAGTCAAGACGCCTGCACTAAAACCTATTTATAGTCGCCAGGGGGATACCCCATGCAGAAGACAATACGAAACCAGCGTCGGCCAAAACTAAGAGGTCCTCAAGCGGTAGCGCGTTCTGTAGGGTGGTGGAGTGCCAGCTCTTACTCTAGTTTTTCCTCCAAGGCCTCCCGGCCTACTGTCCGTTGTGTGACACACCCGTCTGTGTGACTGCCGGTCCGGTGAGATACAGACAGCAGCAGACGACAAAAATTACGCATTCAACTATCGACAACCACGGTAGGTAATAGTGCATTCGGGCCGAGACAAAAACACTTAAAAACATTGCAATCATGCACGGGCATATGCAACACTCGTTGGTGTTCCAAACAATACTGAACAACGACGAGTCAGTCACACGGACATTGCGTGTTGACAACAAGTTCATCACATGGGCATGCGTGTTGGTTGTCCAAAAATGTTTTTATCACCGGTGCCGTCGATATCGTCTAACCGAACGAGGCAACATACTCCTGTACAAAAAAACAAAAAACCTCTTCCACGGTCTTCTTTCGAGGCGGAAAAACAGCAAATGTCTATTCAAACGGCAACAAAGACTAGCCCCAAACACACACAACAAAACACCCATTCATCTAAATAAATTGAGAATATCAAGAGTCCCACCATACAGGCGTGCTTAAGTTTTGCACGCCTTAGTGGCTGGTAGACCACAGACCACGCGCCCTGAGGAGCATTTTCCCCACAGGACCGATCACCGATGGCCAATCGTTCCTTCCTACACGCTGTCAAAGGTGACTCAAAAACACGTTGCCTTTAGCCTATCTATCCTATCGATGTTATCTCCTGCCTGCCTTTTCAGGCCACCATCAAACGAGGGCAGGGCGGACAAAAACCACAGACACAAAACAGAAACCAAGCAGTCTTCTAATCCACCGCAGGTTGCGTGATATATCACACCCCCTTTTGTAACGATTTTCGAAGCTCGATATCTCGACAGCACAAAACATTGGCGGTGCCGAAAATGGCGGGAGGCGTTGGAACCTTCTTGTCGAGAGCTTTTCGAAAACGTATACTTCAATTTCGGCATCCTCTTCGTCGTGGAGTAATCGAGCTCCGAAAATCGGTCCAGGGGGTGTGATATCTTATGCAACCCACGGTACACCCTTCGTGTTCTCCCGTCATGATATGGAGCAACCGCATCCCGCCGTCTTTGGAGGTTTAGATGTCATTCCTTGCTCCGACTCGGTTGCCTGAAAAGAAAAAAAGATGCGACAAAAAACAAATTGGGCGGGACAGTTAAAAGAAAAAAATTGAACAAAAAACATTGGGCAGTACCGTTAAAAAAGAAGATACAACAAAAAGCATCGGGCGGGACCGCTACCCACAGGGGAGATATTGCTGCATGCTCTGCTTGGGAAATCGTAGAAACCACATGCTCCGCTAACGCTAAATTCATTGCCAGCGTATCCTACATGTAGATAGACCCTCATCTAGGATAGAGATGGATTCGTTTGTGTTATGCTTACAAGAAAACATTGCTAACTTATCCTACAGGAAGCTAGACCCCCATCTATGGACAGAGATTGATTAGTTGTGCTATGTCAACAAGAAAACAAAGACGAAGCGAAAAAGACTTGCTACACCCGGCGCAGGGAGAACATTTGGAGTAGGCAAGGCAAATAAACCATTCGAAGTACTATATACACATCAGCGTGTATGGTCGATGGTTTTCGTGCAAGAGGAAAAACGGAAAGCAACAACCAAAGCAGCGGCGGCGGGGGGGGGGCTACACAAAATCAGTCATTGCCGCTCAGCACTCGTTGGTGTCATGGTGGGACGCGGGTATGTATGTTTTGCATGCCTTAGCTGTTCGACCGTTGGTCACGGGTCCTCGAGAGGACAGAGCGTGCGGGGGGGGAAGGCGTGCTGTTCATGTTTTGCATACCTTACTTGTAGCGGTTAGACCATTGGCAATGCGTCCTCGAGAGGACCGCGGGGGGGGGCGGGGAGAGAAGAAGAGGGACGTCCAGAATGGAACGCCGAGTACAGCAGTAGAGTGGTCCCTCTACATTGAAATACCCTACTTGTAGGTTGCAAACAGCCACCACATCCCATTGGACAGAATTTCTTAAGCTTGGCTAAAGCCACCACCAAGAAGACACCGAAATCAAACGCAGAGGGGTGTGGTATCTTGCGTCAAATTTGGAATAGAGACTACAGTGGGGGTCCCTGTTTTTGGCCGGTGCGTGCCCAGAATGTTCACCGGCGCTATGCCGGACCGGCACTACTCAAAGTACTGACAATGGCATGGAAATTCAGTGTGTGCCCGCCGAAAACACCTGCACTACACCGGCCATTGGCACTATTCAACCGGCACTGAACAGGGACCCCCTCCGTGATACGTTTTCGGAAAGGTGTCGAAGAGACGGATAAAACGCCGTGCCGCCTTCGAGACCGTCTCTCCTTTCGAAGCGGAGTAACCGTATGTGACACAAGATAACACACACCCTGGACCAATTTTCAAAGCTCGATTACGGCACGACGAAGAGGATGCATAAACGAAATGGTACTTTTTCGGAAAGCTCTCGACCAGACGGCTTCAACGCCCCCGTTTTCGGCGCTGTGTGTGACTCTCTCTCTGCTGTTGAGAATTCGGGATTTGAACATCGGTTCAGGGGGTGTGCTATCTATCATGTGTCATTTACGGTAATCGAGCTTTGAAACATCGGTGTGGTATCCCACGTCATGCGGCCTTCGATAGTGCCAACAAGCGCTTAAAAACCGCGTTGTGTTGAGGGCCTTCCCACGACATACCCCAAGAGGGGGAGAGGTGCCGTCCCCCCCTAGGGCGACTTTAAAAGCTCGATTTCAAGGGTGTGTGGAAATCGCCCGGCACGTCAACAGAAATCCCTCGACGATACGTTTCAAACCACCATCATCGTATCATCGTAGGTGTTGACGCGATCTTGGTCGTTCGTCAAGAAATCGAGCTTTGAAAATAGGTCTGGCGGGGGGGGGCATCTCTCCGTCACTTGCGGTTGGTTTCCAAGACGAACAGGCGGCAGCGTCGAAAGGACCCCAGCGCGGCAAAAAGGAACTACCGTACTGTGTTGCGCAGTTTTCTGTTTTGTAAAAAAAAAGAGTCTTTCGCAAGGGTGCACAAAAAAAAATTTCCGACACCTAACCCCCAAAACTTTTTTTTGGGGCCCTCCG